ACAAGCAGTGGTATCACAACAAGCAGGCTCCTGTGTCACAGAGCAGTGAACAGACAGCTGATGGCACTGCACCCCCAGGGTACTTCTTACTTGATCTTTGCTACGCTTGTTACAAGCCTTGAGATGTTTTCCACAAGAGAGGAGGAAGCATAATACACAAACTCGATACTGACTGACATTTGTTTGGAAAACAAAAGGCGAAGCCAGCGACGGCCCACTTGAGGTTTAAGAGTAACCGACTTCTTCTAAGTCTTGTTTATGCTGTAGCCGGAGAAAGAATTAACACACTGTAGGAGTCTAAATAACATTTGGTTTGGCTGTTCAAATTTGAATAATAAAAAAAAACACACATCCCTCACTGGATTCAAGTAAGAGTTCAACCATTTGGGGAAATAGGACAATTTTTACTGTCTGGGTGGAGGGTTCCACCAGCAGATGGTAAGCTTTCCCCCCCAAATCTAATATATTTGCCAAAAATGGTAAATTCCATCATGCAAGGGTTTCTGAATGCACTGTGGGGCCTGCCAGCTAGCCTACAAGGATCACTGGGTAAAGATCAAGTGGCAACCTCAAGCTGGGCTAATTTCATGGGGACAAAACATAATTCTGTTTGTATATCGGAGAAAATGACCTTTAGATTCCCTTGGTTTTTTAGATTAGTAAACATCGAATGAGTTTGTGGTCTCAAAAGCTAGTTTCAAGTATTTTCAAAACAGCCTGATGATCATTTGGTCATTTGAATCAAAATACAAGTTGCTACCACGGTGATTTTAGCTATGGTAGGAACCACTTCAGAATGGGTTTTCAGTTAATGAACTGGTATTGTAACATTTGTGCTTAAAGACATTCCAAAGAGTCTATTGTTCATGCTTGCACCTTGCTAACAAGCTAGCTCCAACTGATGACTTAACTCCAGATAGTCCAAACACAACGGACAACATCCCGAACTTGAGGCTTCAAACATTTAGAAGTAAACGATTTGGAAGTAACTATGACAACTTATTTTATGCAGCTTATGAAAAAAACATGAAGCAACTAAAGCCAAAGTGGAAGTTGTGTGATGTAGGCACACACGTGTCCCAATTCAGCGGCCGCATCCTCCTGAGGATGCATTCGGAGTCCGCATACGTCACTTCCGCCAAACGAAGGCTGTCCCAATTCAAAAACAAGACAAGACTCCTCCGAATGCGGCCCGTAAATGCAGCCTTCTTTCCCCAGATTTAGAGGATACATCTGATGTACACTCCGCGGTCTACCATATCCCAGGATGCAACGGGTGACGGTGACGAATGAGTTAAAAAAAAAAAATAAGGCTTGTAACGTCCCATCAACGGCTACAACGGTTTCAGCTGGATTCGTTTTTAAATGTACTCACCCAAATAGTAAACGACATGAAAGAAAAGTAAACCTATTTAATTTGTGTATTTAAATATACGGACAATTGGAGATGTCTTCTTTATATTACATACATAAAATAATATGAAGTGAAAATATTTCTAAATCCTGTTTGGTTTTCATATTGTTGGGATTCATTATAAAGCTAATTTATTTATTTAACTGCTTTTGTTATACAAATCTTACTGCAACAATTTTGTTTTGATAGGGAGCAAGGAGCAGACTGCGCAATTTATCCAGATGCGCGGGGAGAATGAAGCCCTCTTCACGGGGGCCTGTTGCGACCTCGGGAAAATAATTTAAACATAACACCAAAATAAGTACAGCTAGATCTGACTCCATATTGAACAGTTTTGAAAACAGTTTGAAAATATTTTGCCAAGTGTCAGAAATTATTACCGGCACTTGTGACTGCAGCTGGTTGCTAGGTGACGGGGGCTGCAAAATGTAGGGGTAACTGCCGGTGACGTACAAGGACATGCTCCGTAGACCGTCTCATTTCGCAGTCCGCGGAGGACCCAAGCTGGGTCCTCNATTGCCAAAGTTGTATTTGACATTGGCTTTATTTTGGAGTCTACAGATAGATTTAATACTTGAACGAAATGAAAGTGCCTTGTGTAAAAAAAACCACTATTGTTTACGTTGGTTTCATTGTGATAAATGGGTTTGTGTCACAAGATGCGGTGATGTATGAATGTAAATTTACACACGACACGGTTCACAGCAAGTCGGTAAGAGGCGTTCCCAAAAAAACTTTAACCAGGCACGCGTTTCGTAACACGCCCTAAACTTCCTGCGCTTCAGATGGGTACCACGTCGGCTTTATAATGGGGGTTTGGTTCCTGCACCGGAGCCACCGTTTAAGGGTTCATACGACCTCTAACCTTGGTCAGGAAGCGCCGGTGAGGCTACTGCATCATAGGAACCTTTATAACCGAACCTTCGGGTCAAAAGGAGCGCAACTCTTTGGCCGGTG